CAGAGATGTCACGCTGACAATCCTAATGCCCTCTTTGCCGTCCCAGCCCTGACCAGCTCCAGGCTCTCCCCTGAGGCCAGCTGGCTGGCTTTCCAAGGACTCCTTTGGCTTCACCTCATTCTCTTGCAACAAGTCCCAGAGTTGCTCATCCTCCCAGCCAGCCCGACTGAGCGCCAGCTGCCGGCTGTTCTGGTCCCTGGGAGGAAGAGGATGGTTGCTGCCAGGTAAGGGCCTGGGATCCACATTCTTTCGCTTCAAGAAGAGATAGACAGCCTGTGGTGTGACACGAATATTGTCAAGCTCCAGGACCTTCTTGATTTTTCGAAAACTCAGCCCTGCTTTCCGAAGTTCTACAATTCGCTTCTTGGCATTGTCATCTAGGCGACCCATGACCCTGGCCTGCTAAGGCTACAGTACATCCAGGGTCTCACTCCTGAGGAGTCCCTTGCCCTGTCTGATGTCTGTCAAGCAGTATACTCCAAACCAGCAGCCCGTGCGGAGACATATGCATACACACAGGCAGCCTTTGGAGAAGCGCAGAGGAAGTTCCCGGGGCAGAATTCATCAAGAGGACCCCATTCTGATCCGTCTTCATCCTGCAAAGCAAACACAACTCATCAGTCCCATCTTGGCTCACCTGTCACCTTCCTCAGATGATAGTCTAGCCCCTAATAAACAACAGACGGCTAAGTTCACCTTTTCCCCAACATTGCTGCCCCTGATATCCAAATACTCCACTGGGGACCAATCTGAAATCCTCAAGGACACTACCTCTCAACTTCCCTAGCAGACTGTTCCCTCAATCTTCTCCATCTCCGATCTCTCTGAATCCACTGGTTCTTTGCCTACTGCTTTCAAATACACCCAAGCCTGTCCCTATACCTTCACTGTACCACACCATCTATGCTCAAGCTACAGTCTAATCTCTCTCCTGATTTTCTCAGCCAAATTCCTAAAAAAGATGTTTACGTTCATTGCCTCCATTACCTCTCTTCAATTTTTTACAATATGGCTTCTGGCCTCATCACTTAACAAAAACTGCCAATCTGATTTTTTTTCAGTCCTCATTCTTTTCTGACATTTCTGCTGTACTTGTCACCACTGATTGTCCTCTCTGGGTTTTCACGACCCTACTCTCTCCTGGTTCTCAGGCTCCTTTGCTGGCTCACCATCCATATCATGCCCCTTAACTGTGGGCCCTTTTCTATCCACTCTCTCCTCATGGGATTATGATCTTTAATTCATATGACTAATTCACCTATATAGCCAGTCCTAGTCTTCCCCCAGAGCATGGGGGGGAGGGTGGGAACCACACCACCCACTGCTCATTGGACATTTCAAACTAGATATACCAGAGACATCTCAAACTCAACCTGTTCAAAATAGAACTCATTACCTTTCCCCCAAAAAACCCACCCCTCTTCTCAGCTTCACTATTTCCATGGAAAGCATAATCATTTTCCCAGTCTCCCAAATTCAAAACCTAGCCATAGGCTAGGTTCTCACTCTCACCCCACACAATTACTTTGCTATGTCTTTTGATTCTATCTCCAAAGCATCTTTCTCATCCATCCCCTTCTGTTTACCCTGAGAATCACTCTCATTACCTCTTGTCTAAACTGTTAAAATGGCCTCCTGATTGGTCTCCCTCCCTCAAATCTCTCCCCATGACAATTCATCCTCTACACAGTTGCCAAAGAGTTTTCCTTAACTGCAGATATAACCATGACACTACCCTTCTCCACAAACTACACTGGATCCCTATTGCCTCTAAAATAAAACAAGACCTCTTGTTGGCTCATGAAGCAAACCTTCACAACGAAGTCCCATCTCATCTTTCCATCCTCGTTACACATTATTCACTCTAAGGTCCAGCCAACTATCCTCCTTTATGTTCCTCACACAATACTCCACCTCTCATATCTGTGCCTTTGCAAAGGCTGTCCCACAGTCCTGGAATGCAATAATCCCTTGTGCTGCCCTCATAGAATCATTCTCTTCGAGACACAATTGAAGCACTACCTTTTTACACAAAGCTTCCACCCCAACTACTTTATATTTTTTTATGTTAATACACAACACACATCATGAAAAGAACTCAAGCTAGATAGGAGTAGGGATTGTTTCTTTTCTTTTTTATTTGTATCCCCAGCTTAGCACAGTGCTTAATACCTAATGTGTACTTAAATCTTGTTGACAGGTGGATGTATTTACCTGTGAACAGGTTGTATCTTACCTAGTTAAAATATCTGCAGATGGAATGGCTTTATAAAGTACTTCCTGAGCAGCCCTGGAAGCCACTAAAATTACCAATACCCCAAACCTGGCACAGGCTCAGGGCTTTGACTGGGACTTTACTTTTTAGGAAATGCTAGTAGCATTTACCCTCTTTCAGTGCATAGAACAACAGAACCTAGCACCTAGTTAGCAAAAATTAGTTAAAACAGGAGGCTACCACAAGGCCCAAACACTTCCTCCCCTCAGCCCTCCCTCTCAGCACTCCACCCCGAAGCAAAAGTGTGCTCAAGTGGTTGCCAGGATATGACACCCCTCCCTTCAGGTTCCTCTCCATCTGCTCAGTTAGAACTAGTCAGAACACCCAAAAAAATGTCATACCACACAACCTAGCAGAAACTACTATCCCCATCCCGTCCTCCCTTTCCCTTTCCTTCTCTTTTCATAAAATAGCAATGATAGCAAAACCTGAAGGAATAAGAAGGCAGATAAGTACAGATGTCACATTACCTCACCTTGAGGAAAGGGCTGAGTCTAGGTACCTCACTCAGGCCAAGATCCAGTATGGCTCTTTAAAAGGATCTCAGTGTTCCCTACGATCGGTACTAGCTATTAATTAGCAGGAGAAATACAAAATCTAAAAAGAGAACACCACAACAAAACCTAACTAATGGAGCCCTAAGTAGGTGTGGTCATATGTGGCCCCATCCTGACATCAAAAGCTAAATAACACAAGGCCTCCCAAGACAAACCCATGGCCTACCCAAAATAGTCTTCAATCTCTGTGGAGGAAGACAAAAGAGTTACCAAAGTAATGTCTTTCAATCTCAAAGGTAAGTGAATTGCAACCCCTATTCTGTCTACTTAACCATGACTTCATGGGCACAACTTCCTTTCTAGCCCTAGGTGACTGAGCCCTAGATCTATGCCCCACTGCTTTAAAAAAGACCAAAACACTATGGCCACCTGCTGAAGCTTTTTCTTTTAATGTAAAATATAGCTGAGAACTCTAAAAATTTAACTTATTAGTAATAAAAGAATTTCTGGTTCAGCTTTATTTACTCATGATAAGCATTTTCTGGCTAGTTTTAATTTCTAAAACAGATCCCCCAACGTTTACTAATCAATCTACAAATTTGCCAAATTTCCCCCATCTGCTATTTTTGATATGTAAGTCTTTCCTCTCTATTTGCCTGCAAGGAAACTTACAAGTTTTATCTGTAAAATGTAAACCTCTTACTTTTTCTTTCAGCCACTGTAAAATTCTACTCCTTTCCTTCTTGCTGATACAGCTAAAGCCTATATGAGAATTCTGAAAATTCTATTCTTTGCTCACTGGTCATTTAGATACCATGAGCCTATCCTCCGGTTATTAAAATGTACTTTTCATGTTGATAGCTTTGATTATCAACGAATCCTTGGATATTCCCACACTAATATCTTGTTTGTACATAGTTGTTTGCATTAGTGTGAACTCCCAGAGAGCAGGGACTTTTTAATCTTTTTTGGTATCCTGAGCACTTAGCAGTGACTGGCACATAGTAGGCACTTAATAAAAATGCTGACTACCTTTTGAAACATGTACAGTGGGAAAAAAAGCTGGATTTAGAGTCAAGGGCAAGGAAAGTGTTGAATTTAGAGTCAGCCAAGATTATGCACCGTGTGACCAGTCACTTTACTTCCCTGCAAAACGAGAGAAGTTGGACTGGATGACCTCTAAGGTCCCTTCCAGCTCCACACCTATGATTTTATGACCGGGGGATGGGGTGACTGGATCCAATACGTGGGAACAAATGGCCGACCAAGCCTTCCTGTGGTCTCCACCATCTAGTCCACCCCCATTTCCGTCCAGCCCCGCCTCTTCCAGGAAGCCTTCGAGGGCTTCACTTTTTAGGAAGTGCAAATCGCACAGACATCGCACAGACACCCCAGCAGCCACACTTGATCAGCCGCGCATCATTTGTTAAAATAGGGTGCTGGGGAGGGGAAGAGGTGGAGGAGGGGGTCGGAAGCCCCTCCCAGGGCCCCCTCCCGCCCTCCAGAAGTGCTCCGCAAACACGGCTGTCACTCACTGTTCCGCCCCGGGAACGCGACTGCGGAGCAGGGAAGCGCAGGAGGGTCAGGGGAGCCCTCATTCCACAAGACCCCAACCGAGCGCTCCCATTTCGGCTTCCCTGGGAACTCTGCGCCTCGGGATCTCCAACTCTCCCGAAGTCGGGGCGGCCCCGAGCTGGAACGGAATCCCTTTTCCTAGCCCTCCGCCCAGGCGCCGTCTTCTTCGTCGCTGCTCCCGTCCCGGTCGCCCCCGAAGGGCCGGCCTCGACGCGAGCCTGAGCCGGGGGGCAGCAGCGCCGCCGCCGCCGCCGTCGCCGCTGCCGCTGCCTCTCTGTCCCAGCAGCTTCTCCCCGCGGGGGGTGCGCGCTCGCGCTCGTGCTCGAGCCCGCGCCCCCGCTGTTCCTTGCGCGTGCCAGCGAAGCCGCTGAGGATGCCGGGAAGGTTGCGGCCTTAACCCCCTCGGAGCCGGAGCGCGTGAGGCTCATTCCCCTCCAAAAGCTCTCTCACGCTCTCCTCTTCGTTCCACGTTTCCGTGTGGGCGTCCAGAGACGGCCTCGAAGCGGCCCTGGGCAAGGCGGAACGCCGCAGCCCCGATTTACCGACAAAACCGTTAGGAGCCGTGGCAGACCTTAAGAAGGGCCGCGCACAATCGGCTTCGGTGTCGAGGCCCGCCTCAGTAGGTTCTGGACGGCCTGCGGGAGGAAAGGTAAAGGCCACAGCTGCTCACTCGACCTGCAGACGGAGAGATGGCGAACAGTCGAATAGCCGTCTTGTCCCTTTAACTAGTACGTGCTTACGTAAAAAGTCGTGCGCATTTGCGTCAACACCGTGCGTGCCGCTCGGTCTTCCCGCCCTGGCGCGTTACGTCATTTCTGGTCGCCGGAGAGTGCGGGAGGAGGAACGGGCGGCAGAGGCGGCGGACTTAGGAAGATGTAAGTGTCGAGAAGAATCCGATCCCATCCGGGGCTCTGCCTGCCCCGCGCTTGCCTGGGGCCGGCCGCCATCGCCTGGAAGGTGGATGGTGGACATGGACCAGCGCCTCACGGGCGGAAGGAGTCCTGGATGGGGCCGGCGGGATCGCGATCTGAGGGAGAAAACGGGCCCCGGCCTGGCCCTAGGGGGAGGAGCCAAAGGACGGAGGGAGGGAGCCCCAGGCCTCAGGGAAGGAAGCTTGGAAGCTGGGGTGGGGAGGCGGACTGACTGGAGGTCGTGGGGGACGCGGGAAAGGGACTAGAGGCCCGAGCACGGGGCAAGTCCAGGAACGAGGGGTCAGAAACGGTGGGGGAGAGAGGGGCCGGAGCAGATGGGCAATGTCGGGTGTCGTGGAACTTGACCGACAGAACCCGACTCTTTGTGATTATTTCACACGAAAATCGTGCAGCCTCGGCTTCCCCTAAGTCATCCAGATTCAACATTCAGTCGAATTGGTGTAGTTGAAAATTAAAAAAAAAAAAAAATGAGTGTGTCTGTAGGCTTAGACCTGGAGAGGACAAACTGTAAGGTGGCCTTTACGGAAGACGGAAGTCACTGAGGGCTTTGATTTGAAAGATTTTCTCTGCGGAAGGAGCCTACAACGTCCTTTCCTTTTCGCACCGGAATGTAAGCGCCTATCAAGATAAAGTTTAACAAAATGTCTGTTAGGTGGGTGGTAACTGTCTTAATAGAGGACTACTCAGTCTAGTTCACCCAGAGTCCACAGGTCTTGAAAACGTGAGCATCAGGGGCATTTCATTGCTGGCAGTTGTGTGTATTTTCTTCTAGAAATTGGCTATGTTGAGGACGAGTTTGCATTTTTTTGAAAAGACTCAAATGTGGAGAAATACCCTTTTTCCTCATTTGTTGTGAGTGGAAGCAAACCTATTCCTTTTGCAAGGTTTTGCAAACCTGTTTCCTTTCCTCCCACCTTACAGTTTGTCCTGCCAGCTGTTTGTTAAAGCAGGAACCTAGATTCAGCTGTCCTCCTGCCTTTTTCTCTCTAATCACATATCCAGAGCTGCTTGGCTCTGACTGCAAAGGTCAAGGGTTCTTCTCTACACTTTGGTGCAGGCCTCTGCTAAACATTTATTCCAGGGATGGCAACTATAAAAGAAGGTGATGGACAACAATCGGATTTTTTTCCCCCCAGATAAGATAGAGCAGTGTAGACAGGTGCCTAATATAATCAATGTACCAGTCCTAACCCAGAGCTGGGCTTCCAGTTTTAAGAAATGGAAATATTAAAGGGGTTGAAACAGAAGAATTAGTTCCTTGTAAATTGTAAAGGATTAGATACAGCCAAACCAAAAAAGGACAATAGAGTAACAGATGAGATGCATACCCAGTTTATTCTCCTCCTGAAGAAAAAGACCTGCACCCCCACCCAGTGCTCACTTGCTCTATAGAGAAACAGACAAAGAAGGCATTTTGCCAATAGTAGGCTCATAAGTTTACATTAACTTTGACCATATCAGGGTGAATTAGCATAGGGTCAGCCCAGTGAGCTGTTTACAACTTGAGTACAAATGTTTATATTATGTATGGTTCTATAATGATGCAGGAGCTAGTGGAGTTGTTTACAAGCCATGATCCTGGGAACTAGTATTTAAAAAAAGAAAAACAAATCCACCTTAGCTACATAAACTCAATTACAGAATTTAACATATGATATGTGACACCTGATTGTAAGAATGTTGAGATTCCTCGGTGATGGGGCAACTGGCCTGGAGCTGTCCTCAAAGCCAGGAAAACTGACTGGAAGCCCTGCTTCTTGACACTTGCTGGCTCCCTGACCTTGAGCAAGTCACTTAGTGTTCTAGCCAACTCTGTAAGTTTCAAAGAAGGTGTCAACCTTCATTGTTAAAGGTAGTTTCCTCACCTGGTAATTCTCTGTGCCAGTAAAATCATGTTTGTTTGTTTTTCATCTTTGTTACAAGAGAATGCTCCCTGGGGGCAAGATATAGTCAGATATCAATGTAAAAACAGAAGTATCAATTCACGTATTTAAAGAGAAAGAAAGGTAAGAGGACATGAATTTTAAGGTATAATTACATTAGCTTTTAATGTAAACAGAAACTTTAAAGTTTTCATTAGGTTGGTATTAAATTTTGTGATACCAATACTTCTTAACCCTGGTGTTCTTATCCACTGTTATAATAGAATTTTTATGTTTAAATTATGCAAGAAACTTGGCAATGATCTAACCAAGCAGAGGTCTCCCATAGGGAGAGGCCCAGGTGCCTTCTGCTCTTGTCTCCCATGTGATGACTATATTGTATTCCAAAGGAATGAGGCGGGGTAAAGAAGCTTTTCACCTTCCCTTGGTGAAAATGAGCTTGCACCTATAAAGGATATCTTCCTTTACCTCCCATTCCCCTTCCTCCAATCCTGCTTTGATAAGAAAATACCAGGGTAAGGTGAAAACTCCAGACACCTTTCCTTTAGAACCAGGAGAATGCCTGTGTGAGGAGATGTTGAATTGCCCCTGTGATCAGCTTCTTTCTCCACCTATTTGTTCCGCAGCTGCGTGAACACTTAATGTATATTGTATTAAATCCATTTGGTGTTTCTCACCTCTTTACCCCACCCTCACACTGCTGAATTTTTCTTTACTGCAAAGTAGATTTGTTGCCTTTGATTCTTTTCAAATCCTTTTATCTTGTTATTAGGCTGCTCTATGGAGTAAATTCGATTAGGGATCGGTTCTCAGAATCAAGGAGTTAGAAGTGAGAGCTCAGATAAGTGAGTACTTATCCAGTACTGCTTTGAACCACCTCAGAAGGGGAGAATGGATTTATCAGGAATGAAAAAGAAGAGCTTGCTAGGAGTCAAAGAAAATAATAAAAAGTCCAGCACTCGGTAATCCTTCTGTCAGCTTTTTCTAGTGCTAATTTCGGGGTAGCCACTGCTAGGGATCCCTCAGGAAGGGCAAAACTTGGAATTGTTTGCTTGTTCTCAGTGAAAGCTTCCATAAACAACTGGTCATTTTGCCCTGTAATTAACTGGGATCCCTGCAAGCTTTTGGATGCCCTATTTTTTAAGCTGTGGCATATTGTTTCAGGCTATGGTTGGGAATGGCATTGTTCTCACCAACTCTTTTTCTCCCCCTCTCTAGGGCTCCCTCTCCCACCAAGCGTAAGGAGAGAACTGAAGACAAGTCAAAGGACCGGTCTAAAGATAAAGGGGCCACCAAAGAATCAAGTGAAAAGGACCGTGGTAGAGACAAAACTCGTAAGAGGCGCAGTGCCTCTAGTGGTAGCAGCACCTCCAGGTGGGGATTTTTTTGGGGGAGGGTTTTTTCCTTTGATTTTATCAATGTGCAGGCACAGTCAGATTATAGGGGTTATTTCTTTGCAGGTAGCCTATTTATATAGCAGATAAATTCAAACAGTGTTCTGGGAACCTGTCATCTTTTGGGAAAACTTTTAAAGAAAGACCTTTTGTAGGGGATTGGTGGAGTGTTCAGGGCTGTCCCTTCCCATGTTACACACCATGCAAGGTGTGTAACTTCTCAGGTATATTTATTTTTGATGAACATTGGCATTAACTAATCAGTAACACAAATTCTACTTTTAGACCAGCTCTAAGCAGTTAGCTACCAATTCACCAAGCTAGGCCTGTTTGATTCTAACGTGTGTAGGTTCCCTTCCTCCATTACTACTGACTTCTGCAAGTACCAAGCCTTAGATTCCTTCTCTCTGGATTGATTACCTGTTACTGCTCAGGAGTTTGGCCTGACCTTAAAAGTTTCTACTTGAATCTCTTTGCCAATCTAGCAAATAGAGACATTTTGGCATTAGAAGTAACTTTGCTCCCTAACGAGTAGTAAAGTAAAAGTATGGAGTGCTGTCCTCAAGAGCATTACCATTGAGCTTGGGGTCTCCTAATCCCAATTTAAAAACATTCTACTCCCATTTCAGTTCAGCCTGTGGCCCTTTTACTCCTCTCTACCTCATCACTCAGCAGGTCTCGATCCAGTTCCACCTCCAGCTCTGGCTCTAGTACTAGTACTGGCTCTAGCAGTGGGTCCAGCTCTTCTTCTGCATCAAGTCGTTCAGGAAGCTCTAGCACCTCCCGAAGTTCCAGCTCCAGCAGTTCCTCTGGATCCCCAAGTCCCTCTCGACGAA